AGACTCCGATAGAAGGGGGAGTGGATCCCGAGGTGGATACTTAGAGCGACCCCCCTTTCTTTTGTTATAGACTTGGATAATCTTTTGGGAGAATTGTATAGCCTAGTTTTTATTTTATAAATTCCGCTGTGTATTATAGTACTTTTGTGGGAATGTAAAGGTCATAACTTGGCCTATTCTTTTGGGATAACATGTAAATTGGATGGATTGATTTTATGGTAATTAAATGGACCCGGTGTGGTCATTACAGTAGAATTGCACAGGTTGTGTTTTGAGTAGAGCTCCCCGAACAAAGGAGACTCTGCCCAAATTTTCTTAAAATATGAATGGTAGATGAATGAAACTTTCGTCGTGATGGATTTACTTAATGCTCTCATGCGGTGAATGGTTTTTAGAATGTAATGTCATCCAAGGGGGTTTTTGGGGCGTTACATAATCTCTGCATTCATAAAACTGAATCTCTCCTTTCTAGACTTTTGTGGAAGGGTTTTTTTTTTAAAAAAGTTACTTCCCAAGACGGTTGCAATAGTTCCTTCATACATTTTGCTTTTATAGTACTACATAGGCATGCTACTCCAGAAATTGTTCAGCAATTCAAAGCCCCCCAATTCACAAGTGTATCAAAGATATTACCGGTTCTCTATGGACTAATTTTGAAGGTGCATTGATTAAGAATCTTCTTTAAACAAACTTTTCATGGATGCAAGGAGATAATTAAGCAGCAACTAAATTTAACACTTTCCAATCTAAGGACAAGTTTAAGTGCATCCACCCAGTCTTCACCACAGCCATTAGTTATTCTAGTTATGGTAAGCATCAAACATCAGGCAACTGAATCGAGCAAAAAAGAAAAAAAGAAAATCACAAGCCAAGAATCATATGCAATGATGGAGAGTCAGCAAGATGCCATCTAGCACCGGATCTGAATGCCAATGATAGAGGTATTTAAGTTGTCTCAGTGGGATACCCCTTATCTGAAGAATAAAATTTGCTCCATATAATTGATTAATAAGCATCATGTCTAAAAGCTATGAAAGTACTGGGTCGAGCAAACAGCATCTCATAGTTAATCAGCTGGAAAAAGGAATCAGGCCCGTGGCCCGGCAGCAGTCCTTGTTGTTCAAAAAATTCAATGTAAAACTAGAATCACTAATCAAGTAATACCAATGCAAACAGAGAATAAGTGTACATTTTTTGTAGGATTAACGCATGCCATAAGTTACTCAAGAACAGAAAGTAGTATTGCAGGGGTTTGGTAAAGAGAAAAGGCATTACCAGATACTGCTTAGAATAAAGCTGAATACATACAGTGGGTAGAACCATAATAACTGTAAGAAATAATCACAGAAAAGTATCAGTACCACTCAGAATTTCCTGCATAGCTGAAAAATATATGAACTTCTCCAAGAAAATGAAATAGCAAATACACAAAATGATAACAACCAAAAACTTGGCGTCTGACTTGGAGTATAAACAACTAAATTTCAGCTTGTTACATCCAATGCAAGTAGGACATTGAGTTTACAAGTAATAAGGAAAACTAGAAGAATTGTATTTTTAAGAATGAACCACTCAAAAAACTTCATCTTTGATCTTAAAGAAATTGCCTCGCCCATATACAATTAGAAAATCCACTTCTAAACTTTTTCATTGACAGTTCCATTGAACAAATCAAGAAATCAATGGCATCACTATATGTGCTGAAGATTTCTGCAATAACGCTAGCAAAGTTGTCTCCATTGGAATCCAATATCTTGTTCTTAGCATTTAGCAACAATAGAAGGCAGTATCTGTGGTTAGCCTTCTAACATGAAGCCAAAGCAGTCCTCTAGCATCATCTTTACATTTGGTGCAGAGAAAACCATTCACACTTGAGCAGCAGGAAAAAAGTTAGAATTGGCTTTTTTTGGCAGACTGATGTACACAAGTTAAAAGTCCTCCACAGCAAAGAGGTACGAAAACCTTTCACTATGCATTGACTATTTTGCACTACTTGCACAATGGTTGAAAGGGGATGCCAATTTTCAAGTAAAGTAATCCCCCATAATGGAAACTTCAATAACAAACAGCAAGCCACATGCAAAGGATTTGCAGCATGTGCATATAAAATTTCACCAAACTTCATAAGATACAAATGAGATACAAAATTTGTTATCAAATGCATACTCACATAGAAGAGTTGTATGAGTCCAAGACGTAAGAAGGAATAAAATTTTAATATACCACCAAATGAGCATGGTTCTTGAGAACTGATTGGTGGGCACTGATCTGGTAATATCCATAGAAGCATTGGGACAATAACTGATTTGAGAATAAAGATACTGCAAAAAGTTGTTCAAGTAACCAGAATATTAGGGAGTGCCCCTAAATATTTAATTTCAAAATGCAAATCCAACAAAAGCATCAATTCAGGACGTAACAAAATACAATGTCCGAGATCTGATACATAAAACTTATGGTAGATTGACCTCAAATTTCAGTTGCATCTAGACACACAGCAAAAGACCTCTCTATCAAGTTTCTTCATCCAGCAATGTTCGAAGAATGTAAAAACTGGCCATTACAAGAACATGGAACCATGTAGCAGACTGAAAGTAATTTTATATTTGAGGATCCACGCTAAACATAGATTGGCGGGTGTCCAAAACTAAAATCCACATGTAGAATGTTCAAATAGTACACTCAATAAGAACAGCTCCCACAAATATAAAACATACAAGAGGCAGATATGGATTCATAAAATATCCAAGAATATGTGGAGATTGTAATGCTAGCATAGAACATTAAGTTTACTTTGAATATATTAAACAATTAGAAATCGAAGTGAAACTTTTTTTCTATAATGATATTTAGTGCTTCTTAAATAACTTGCAGCACATTTTTGGAGTTTCAAAATAAACAAAAAGGTAGAGCATTATATTTTTCTTTTGAAGCTGCGTGCAACAAATTTAAGTACACTATCGATCTCTGTGTCTCACAGCAGCTACTGACAAATGAATAAAACTAAATAAGGGCAGCTCAAAGCCCATTTTGAGGGTTACTCAGCTGTAGCTGGAGTCAAAAAATAATTAGATTGAATACTTAAGAGTGTCAAATCCCAGTTTTAAATCAAATGCAATGTAGCTAAAATAGTCCCTGAACTTTCAATTGTCCCAATTTAGTCCTTCAAACCATCAATTTCATGTTAATGAAGTCATTCCATCAATTTCAACCATTAGAATAGACCGGCTGGCCAGACAAACACGTGGTGGAAGAACTTGATTGATTTAAAAACTGATAGTTGAAGGACTAAATTAAGACAATTGAAAGTTTAACAAGCATTTTAAAACAGAATGAAGGACTAATTGTAATACATACCCTAAATTCAAAAGAAAATTCACCCCAGGAAATTGTAGCTTTTATAAGACCCTTCAAAGAGAGAACATAGATGCATATTTATACAATAAATCAAGAATGTAATGCACGCATGCCATACACAATAACACACACACACATGTATATATGTAGAGAGAGAGTGTGTGTGAGAGAGAGAGACCTTCCTAAAAATATGAAGCCATTCAAGAGAAAACACTGTCCCGTTCGGATCATAAGCTGTCTAGACCTTCAGTTGTAATATTTAGAAATTGTGAGAAATCGAATGAATTACGCAGAAGTTTCATAGTAATTAAAAAGTTGGAGAGAGAGAGAGAGAACCTGAAACAGTATAGGACGACCCTGTGGAGACAGCAAGCTTCCCTGAAACCCTCGGCCCACAGCAACGCCGCCTGCTTTATTCTTTGTCTCAATACGCCCGTCGACTGCCCGATGCTTTCCATGTGTGCGTTCGTGTTCGTGTTCGTCTTCGTGTGTGTGTGTGTGTGTGTGTGAGAGAGAGAGAGAGAGAGAGCGAGAGAGAGAGAGAGGGGTTGCTTTAGCTTGCAACCTGACCCAAACAGACTTTGTCCAGGACTCAAATCGTTTATTATTTTGATTATTAATTTATTTTATCAACTTATTTTATTTGCACCGAATATATATGCCGTCAATTTTTTAAATTTACTTGTTTATCTTATCACCCAATAAGTTAGACAAAAATGAATAATAAATAATTTAATAGTAAAAATATTATTTGAATAAATTTGAAAATAGTTAACTAATGGGGAGTTGAAGAGTGATTTATCATTTTTTTTAGTATTTTTATCACTATTATAGTAATTATTTTTACCATATTTTTTCAGTACCACAACAATAATAAAAATATCAACAAAAATAATAAATATCGGTACAGTATATAATAATTTAGAGAAAGGAAATTAAGAAATCCGAAAGTTACACAAAAAATTTTAAAAATGAAATCAATTAATATATGTGAGAATACATAAAAAATATTTTTTTTTCACATTTATCCTCCTAAAATTGGACTATGTCGTTCATGTCCTTTACATTCAATGGCCGCAAACCCTAATTATCACCAAATCTTTTCAAATTCCAGTCTCTCTTACCTCTCTCCCACTCTCTCCTTTTGCAGTCGTAACTCTCTCTTTCCTATGTCTTCACGATTCTGGCTCATTTCTTTATCTTTCTATCTTTCCCTCCTTCTCCCAATCGTTAATCTCTCCATAGAAATGTCCAAGATTATCACCCGTCAANTTCCAGTCGCTCTTACCTCTCTCCCACTCTTTCCTTTTGCAGTCGTAACTCTCTCTTTCCTACATCTTCACGATTCTGGCTCATTTCTTTACCTTTCTATCTTACCCTCCTTCTCCCAATCGTTAATCTCTCCATAGAAATGTCCAAGATTATCACCCGTCAATTTTCATCAGTTACTCCCTCTCCCTCTCCATTGCGTATTCAAAAATCGGCATTAATAACCCGCTATTCACCCACTCTAAACTAAAACACAACTAGACAAAAGTAAGACAACGATCGAGTTTAATTGAATTCAAAATTGAGCTCAAATTTCTAGCAAAAATTTGAAAAAGTAAATCCTGCAAAAATTTTATCATCAATCTAAGATATTCAATTTCTCAACAAAAATATTTTCATTTNACAACCCGCTATTCACCCACTCTAAACTAAAACACAACTAGACAAAAGTAAGACAACGATTGAGTTTAATAGAATTCAAAATTGAGCTCAAATTTCTAGCAAAAATTTGAAAAAGTAAATCCTGCAAAAATTTTATCATCAATCTAAGATATTCAATTTCTCAACAAAAATATTTTCATTTAGCCATGTTAATCCAAAACTTATATTCCGTCTAGTAAGAAGGATAGAAAGTAAGAGAGATAGAAAGTAAAATGTACATTTTCTATTCTTCAAAAAATGAAAGTAGGAATAATATACTTTATTTCCTTTGTGTTTAGTAGGATAAGTGAAAAATAAAAATGATTATTTTTTTTTTGTACTTGCTAATATTAGGAATAACAATCGAGTCACATCGTGTCATATTTGTGTTGAATCATTGTAGATTCATGTCGAATATTAATCAAACCTAACCCAACTCATTTAACTAATTGTGTCGTATCAAGTTAACCTATATTATTTTCGTATCATGTTCGTATTCGTGTTTGTATTCGTATTCATATTCGTATTGACTCACATAAACTTTGAATAAAAAATTTAACGCTAATGTTCGTATCGAGTTCGAGTCGTGTCATCGTGTTGAGTTGAAAATTTTCATCCCTATTTAAGATGGAANAGTCATTGCAGGTTCATGTCGAATATTAATCAAACCTAACCCAACTCATTTAACTAATTGTGTCGTATCAAGTTGACCTATATTATTTTCGTATCGTGTTCGTATTCGTGTTTGTATTCTTATTCGTATTCGTATTGACTCACATAAACTTTAAATAAAAAATTTAACGCTAATGTTCGAGTCGTGTCATCGTGTTGAGTTGAAAATTTTCATCCCTATTTAAGATGGAAAAAATATATATATTTTTTAATTTTTTTTTAAAAAAATATAAATACATATATAAAATTAATGTATACATATCAAAGGATATATAAACAAATAAGATACATTTCAACATAAATAATTAATTTTTTATCCACTTTCTTTTCGATTTTGGAGGAATTGATTTTGGTGAGTTGAAAAAAAAGCTCATTCATCCATTTTTTGATTCTTCTTATTTTTTTTTCTTACTAAACATAATGTTTTATCTATCTTTCTAACTTTTCATCCTTCCAATTTATCATCATACTAAACGGAGCATTAAGTACATTAGTTCGAGTTGATTCTAAAATAAAAGTCAACTAAGCAAAAGTTTGACAATGTTCGAGTTCGATTGAATTCAAAATTNATTTTTTATCCACTTTCTTTTCGATTTTGGAGGAATTGATTTTGGTGAGTTGAAAAAAAAGTTCATTCATCCACTTTTTCATTCTTCTTATTTTTTTTTTTACTAAACATAATATTTTATCTATCTCTCTAACTTTTCATCCTTCCAATTTATCATCATACTAAACGGAGCATTAAGTACATTAGTTCGAGTTGATTCTAAACTAAAAGTCAACTAAGCAAAAGTTTGACAATGTTCGAGTTCGATTGAATTCAAAATTGAGCTCAAATTTCTAGCAAAAATTTGAAGAAGTAAATCCTAAAACTTAATCATCAAATCTAAAATATTCAATTTCTCAACAACAATCTCTCAAAATGTATTTCATCACCTCCTAAAGGAATCCCTAGATGAATTTCCTTCTAGAGCTGTTTTGGACATAGAAATGTATAATCTTGTATTGTTTAGAGAAAATTTTAAGGTTGATCTTTTGAATAGAAATTGTTGTTCAAATCGATTTTTTGTGAAACGAGGTTAAAAACTTGATCAGATTCAATCCCTTTGGAATTTAAACAAGATTGAAGAAATTTAACAGAGGCAAACCAAAGCCAAGGTCAAGCTGTTCAAATTATTTAGCAATCTTGCATTTATTTCTTTTTCGTTATTCTTTCGTAGGGTAGAAACAAGAAATATCATAGACCTACTAAATTGAAAGGGGATGATTGATTAAGTTAAAGATATGCTTCAACATTGATCTTTAAATTGTTTGTCAATTGTTGTTAAGGATCAACACCCATCTAGTTAGTTAATTACTAGTGGCATCTCGTGCGATGCTTCAATCTCTTTCATCACTATTCCACCATTTCTATCTATCATCACCACCATTGTCACCTTCACCCCCATATTGCAACCACTCATCCCCATACACCATCGTGATCTCAACCTCAACCTCGACCCTGACTTTAACCCCAGTATTATTGAAAAATTATCTATTATTGTTCTAAATTGAGGATGAAAAATTTAAATTTAAGGTACTTTTGTGGGGGCAATTATATAAACCACATCAAGTACCTTAATTTGATGAGATCAATGCTTTATTATTAAATAATTCAACATTATAAAAATTTAGTATTGACGAGGAAAGTTAGGTAAGAGTAGTGGGGAATTTGAATGAAATTAAGAGTTTAGTCATGTAAATTTCCGAGGGAGTTGAGAATAAATTAAAATGCATTTAAAAAATTTTAAAATTAGTATCTAAGATTTGGAGTTCATACACCAAACTACATTTAAATAGAATATAAAGATTGCCACCTAAGTGTTGAGATCCTGATTGTCATGCGATTTCAGTTGTGAGAGGACTTTGGGATAGAATAAACTTTGTTAGATTTAAAGATTATTAGTGTGAACCTTGTACTCTAAATTCTCCAACCTTTCAGAACTACAATCATACAAATCCTAAATTAGTACACAAGCAAGTAGTAAAAGGCTCCAATATACCATATTAGTGGGGAAAATGACTGATTCAACAGTGCAGCAAAAAATTATAAAACAAACAAAAACATGATACTGGGGCACCATTTGAGTTAAAGGATGCAGTTCTACCAAAATCCAGTCGACCTGTATAGCGGAACTGTAAGAGGAAAAAATATCTTACCTTGTGATGGTAGAAATTTGACTGGAAAAAATGAGCATGGATTGCACAGTTCTTCCTACAAAACAAGCAAACTGTTAGGGACCAAGGGTAGGCCAGTTGGAGGCACTCCAATACTTAAGTCACTCTAAAAATAAGCACAACAAATTGCAGGAAACATGCGTGTACCTTTGACTCAAACATTACCTGGTATTTATAGCGTTGCATGGCACCCTTTCTGCTTTACCATTTTCAGTTGATATGCAGCGGACACATTCTGTAATTTTCCATGTGTCTTCCACATGTTAACTTTTTGTCATGTGCCTTGAGACACTTGGCTTCATCAACTGGCTCAATTATGTGCAGTCATTTTATGCTACTTTAGGAACCTAGTGCTATATTACTATCAGAATAATCCAGAGATCAATAAGAGGATGTTGAAAAACCAGTACTTGCAGATCAACCATGGTCTGACTGGTGTTTATCAAATTCAAACAGAGCTCTAAATTGTGCACTTTCGACTGAGCAACCAATACCTCATTTCTCAATAATATAATAAAGCAACTAGTAGGCCTAAAGCAAAGAGGAGATACTATTGTCATACATTCTAAACAGACAACAGAAACAGGACAAACTCCAAAACATAATGATCTATAAACTATTGACTATCATATTCCAACATTGTAAAGTGAAACTAATGGGCAAGATGGTAAAGGGAATTGTCTAACCACCCATCCTTAGGGGTTAGAATAAGGAAATTATCAGTAAGTCATAAGGGGCGATCCACTGGANCTATCATATTCCAACATTGTAAAGTGAAACTAATGGGCAAGATGGTAAAGGGAATTTTCTAACCACCCACCCTTAGGGGTTAGAATAAGGAAATTATCAGTAAGTCATAAGGGGCGATCCACTGGAATGCACATCAAAAATCCTTTGCCTTGGAGACAATGTAGTGCTCACAGCAACATCAACATCAAGATTGATTATAGTTTTCCTTTTTTGATTATCCGACTTTGGCAAATCTTCTTCCACCTCAAGTATGGAACTCGATGGCTCTGCTTGGTGCTGGTATTCAGATATCATGGCCTGAGCTTCAGCCACCACTGATGCATCATCATCATCCATAGCATATAATATCCTTTGTATTGCTTCAACCACCTGCAATGGAGATGGAAGATGATTAGGAACAACTCATAATTGAATTTAGTTATATATTCATCCAGTTGTTGTAAACTATTTCATCATATGGAGTAATTAAAGAAAATGTACAGAGAGGTCTCCAATCTCACGGGACTGGCACAAGATCTCAATTTCCCTCAACTTCGCAAAGTAAAAGTCCCTCTCCTTCTCAAGGCTATCCACTGACAACTTCAGCTCCGTGATCTACATGTTCATATAAGTGTTAGCCTCCTCAACATTGTTAAGCTACAGGTATCTCCCTACCACACTACTTTCATTACCTTTTGTTCATACGCAGTCCATCCTAATTCAGAGCAGACAGAAGGCCCTCCACCTGAAGAAGGTCTAGAAGCCTTCACAGATTGATTAGTAGTATTTAGAGAAGGTGCGTCATTCCTTCGGGCATTATGGGAGGCTAGATTTCTAGCAGGAGCTACTGCACACTTGGCTGATGATTGTGATTGTGCAAATTTCTTGCTGACATCTTTTCCACCTTTGCAAGCCTCTCTCCTTTCCATAGTTTTGTAACTAAAATTGATAGTAGAGAAGCAAATCAGAAAGATTTCAACAATATTGTAAGGCCTTAGAGTTTAAAACTGTTGGAGATATAGCAGCAACCTAGTTTATTAGGATTTTATTAAGTTTTCATTTTTTACCTTTTTGTCCTTATTGTAACTCTCATTGACTATATATACGGGGGCTCTACACTTAGTTTGTATCCCTTTCACTCACATTTATTTCAAGTTAGTATCAGAGCCACCAACCCTAACCCTAACCCTAGCCTCCGCCAAACATCGCAACCAGTAGCAGCCTCCACTCCATCAAAATTAGCAACCCCATCAGCCCCCAACAGCATCCCAGTGTCCAGTAGCCTTACCCACAAACCAACAACACAACCAAGACTGCCTCACAACTGAGACTGGCTCACCTACAAACACCCAGCGATAATCCAGAATAATCTCATCCTTCACTGCCCAACACCGACAAACAGCACAGACCAGCACCGACAAACTACCCGGTCCATATCATTGCCCAGCATCGATAAACAGCACAGGCCAGCATCCCACCGACAGCTAAGCAACCGACCAGCATCCCACCGAAAAACAGCAATTATATGTTTCCCAACGAAAAACTCAACCCAGCGAACCCAACTGCCTAACAAATCAGCAAAGAACCAATACAGCCACAAACCCACAAACCAAACCGAAAGACATATTAAATCATCCCAGCAACCTAATAAATCAAACTCTTACTATTGGGTCTTTCCAGACCAGCCTAGCAACCCAATAAACCGAACTCCTACTGTTGGGTCATTGTCTAGCCCATTGTTGGGTCGCATTTTTTGTTGGGGCTTCGTTCTAGGATTTTTTATGAGGGTTGAATCCTCTTTTTCTCCGTCTGTTGATTTGCTCTTGATGCAGTAGATTATTTATATTTACTGAATTTTTGAGCACCATGATCTGATTATTTGGGAGTTTTGTGGACCTTCTTTATCTGTCGCTACTGTTCGACTGGAGGTATATTGTTCTCCCCTATTTTATCCCTCTATTTTCCTGTCACGGGTGCTCTAGTATTATTGTTGATATGACTACTACCACTGAGGGACTTGAGACCCCTACTGTTGACACCTCTACTGTTAAGACATCCATGGGTACTTCCACTTTAATGTTTGACCAGTATACAGTACCTACTAGCACAATTGCATTACCAGCACTACCGGGCATGATCTCTCAGAAAGTTACGGCATAGTTGTTGAATGGTCGTAACTTCGCTGAGTGGTCTCGCTCATTCCAGCTTTTCTTAGGCTGTGTAGGGAAGCTTGATTGGCTGACGGGATCTCACCCAAAGCCAGCTGATGCCGACCCTGGATATTCTGTGTGGTTCTCTGAAAACTACGCTATTCTTAGATGATTATTTGGCTCTATAGAACTATCTATTTGCAGGATCCACCAGTTTCATAGCTTTGTTCCGAAGCTATGAAGCGCATTATCAGAGATGTATTCTCAGTCAGGAAGGGGAGTTTGTGTTTATGAGCTTTCTCAGGAGCTCTCATATGCTCGGCAGGGAGATATGACCGTTCAGGATTATTATGACTATTTGACNTACGCTATTCTTAGATGATTATTTGGCTCTATGGAACTATCTATTTGCAGGATCCACCAGTTTCATAGCTTTGTTCCGAAGCTATGAAGCGCATTATTAGAGATGTATTCTCAGTCAGGAAGGGGAGTTTGTGTTTATGAGCTTTCTCAGGAGCTCTCATATGCTCGGCAGGGAGATATGACCGTTCAGGATTATTATGACTATTTGACCCAGTGCTGGCTTGAGTATGAGACTCTACGTCCTCTTGCTGCTATTCCGAGGATAGAGCCCGAGTGAGCAGCATTCTTGCATACTCGAGAGCAAGAGGATAGGATTCACAAGTTCCTTATGGGGCTTCGTGATGAGTTTGAGGGATCTCGTTCTCAGATCTTGTCGATGTCGACACTTCCTTTCTCTTTATGAGGTGTATGAGATGATTGAGCAGCATGAGCGCCGAGTTCGTATTGTATCACTTCCAGTTATGGCTTTGACTCATTCGGCTGACCAGATGACCCTTGCTGCTGCTGCAGGGTCTCGTTCAGGATCCTCAGTCAGGGGTGGGCAGCGCTCGGATCAGCGCCGTCAGGGTGCCCCAGATCAGCGTAGACAGGGGGATTCTAGTCAGGGTGCACCAGATCAGCACAGACAAGGGGATTCCCGTCAATGTGATTATTGTGGCCGACCAGGACATCTCAAGGCTACTTGCTGGAAGCTCCATTCAGAGCTTAAGCCGCCTCCTCGTAGCCGTACTGTTTCTATTGCTGAGGTACCACCACCCACTATCGCTACTCCTACTGCTGCTGCTCCACCTTGGCAGAGTGATATGGATGCTATCACTTCCCGATTAGATATACTTATGTCTGCTCTGACTTCTCAGAGTCTAACTACTGCTGCTGTCACCACTACAGGTATACCTCGTGCCTTTCACGCTTGTGCCAGTTCATCTTCCCTTTGGATGTTGGACTCGGGTGCGAATAGTCACATGACAAGTGAGGCTCATCACTTCACCACTTTTGACGAGCAATTACATACACAGGTTCAGTTAGCAGATGAGACACATGCCCCTATTGTTAGTAGGGGTACAGTCCGCCTCCCAGATGACCTTATATTACGTTTGATTTTTCATGCGCCAAAGTTAGCCATGAATCTATTATTTGTACATTAATTAGCCAGAGATTTTCACTGTGCGGTTGTATTCTTATCTGATTCATGTTATTTGCAGGACCTGAGTACCAGGAGGATTATTATCAGGGGACATGAGAAAGATGGACTGTATTATCTTGGCAATCCATCTCCAGTTTCACCAATTCCTTCACCTACATCACCTGCACCTGCTTTGTCTTTATCTGTTCCTAGCTTGTATGCTAGTTTTTTACCTAGTAGTTGTCGTTATGATTTTTCGTCACAAACTATTCAGTTGTGGTATGANAATTCCTTCACCTGCACCTGCTTTGTCTTTTTATGTTCCTAGCTTGCATGCTAGTATTTTACCTAATAGTTGTCATTATGATTTTTTGTCACAAACAAACTGTTCAGTTGTGGCATAACTGTTTTGGACATACAAATTTTAAATATTTATGTATGTTGTTTCCTGCTTTGAGTAATGCTTGTGTTGGTGGTAAACTTGATTGCGTTATCTGTTCCCTATCAAAACATGTTAGGGCCAATTATATTCCTCGCATGCACCAGTCACCCAAGCCATTTGACCTAATACACTCTGATATTTGGGGACCCTCTCCCGTTACTGCTCTGTCAGGTGCCAGATATTATGTGACATTTATNCGCATGCATTAGTCACCTAAGCCATTTGACCTAATACATTCTGATATTTGGGGACCCTTTCCCGTTACTGTTCTGTTAGGTGCCCGATATTATGTGATATTTATAGATGACCATACCCGTTGTACTTGGGTCTACCTTTTGCATAGGAAGTCTGATGTGCTCCCTATAATCACTCAGTTTTTACAGATGATTAAGACACAATTCGATGTCATTGTTCGTGCTCTTCGTTCGGATAATGCCAAAGAATATGTGTCTGATGCTTTAGTGTCTCACCTTTCTTCTCAGGGTATCCTTCAGCAACTCACTTGTCCATATACTCCTGAGCAAAATGGTGTTGCTGAGAGGAAAAATAGGAGTTTGATAGGGATGGTACGTTGTCTGCTTAGAGGCATGAGGGTACCAAAATCTTATTGGCATTTTGCTGTTTTGACTTCTACCTTTCTGTGCAATCGTACGCCGAGTCGTGTTCTTTAGCATAAGGCTCCCTTACAGGTCTTATTTCTTGAGCGGACACTTTTTTCGGTCCCCCCTCGTGTTTTTGGATGCACATGTTTTGTTCAGGATCGGTCTCCTACTCGTCATAAACTTGATGATAAAGCGATTCGTTGTATCTTTGTGAGCTATTGTTATCAATCTAAGGGGTATCGGTGTTATGATCCTATTAGACGCCGTATGTATCACAGTCTAGATGTTACATTTCTTGAGCATATTCCTTATTTTTCTCCCAGTCCTGTGTCTGCCCCTCCAGTTGATGATACTCCCTTTGATTTTCTATTACCACAGGAGTCAGAGTTATTGGTCATTATCCCTACAGAGCCACTCATCCCTGTTAGTACAGAGTTATCAGTTTCTCTTCCTTTGCAGGTGTATGTTCGTCGCCCTCGCTCTCATTACCCTGCTGATGTTCCCTCTATCTCAGGCGATGCAGGTAATACTTCTCAGTTTGTTGAGTATATTGATGCACCTGTTGTTAGTACTGATGAGATTGCAGGTGCTGAGCCAATTCATTTACCTGATAAGACATTATCAGTGGAGGAGTATGATTTAGGGCGTCGTTATCTGAGGCGTGATCGCCGTCCAGTTGATCGTTATGGTTGGACCGCCATGATTTTATATCCGATCTCTGCTTATGTTTCTTATGGTGATCTGTCTCCCACATTTCGAGCTCATACTATGGCCTTATCAAATACGCCGGTTCCTCACTCTATTTCGGAGGCTATGCAGGAGCCCCAATGGGTTCTTGCCATGCAGACAAAGATGGACGCTCTTTAGCGTAATCATACATGGGATCTTGTCTCCTTACCTTCAAGGGTGAAGCATGTTGGCTGTCACTGGGTTTACACCCTAAAGTTTCTTACGGATGGTACTATTAATCATCACAAGACTAGACTTGTGGCGAAGGGCTTTACTCAGGCCAGGTCGTGATTTTGGTGCTACATTTGCCCCTGTGACAAAATTGACTATTGTTCGGTTGATTATTTCTCTGGCTGCGGAGTACTCTTGGCCTCTTCATCAATTAGATGTGAAGAATGCGTTTCTTCATGGTGATCTGGACGAGATTATTTATATGGATGCACCACCGGGCTTTCGTGGTGAGGGGGAGTATGCTGGAAATGTATGTCGACTGCGTAAGTCTCTTTATGGACTGAAACAG